ACCAGCCACTCCTCGGAAGGAAGGTTGGGCAATCCTACTTCCGTAGTGATACTGCCTCGGAAACCCAAGGAGGGGTCACTATGAGTCAGGGCTGACTCAACGGCACATAACAACAACAACATATATATGTGTGTGTGTATATATATATATACACACACACACACACAAAATATCCACATGTATAATTTGAATAGGGATTGGAGAAGAGATTATAGTTTTGAAATAAATATCCAGATTTATATTTATATCTGATTAATATTTTAAATTATTTTTTTACGTATTCTACTTCCTTACATTTAACATAGTAAGAGTAAGAAATTATGAATATGCTAAGGCTTTGACTGCTAACCAGAAGGCTGGTCATTCAAACCCACTAGCCAATCCTCGGAAGGAAGGTTGGGTAATCTACTTCTGTAGTGATACCACCTTGGAAACCCAAGGAGGGGTTGCTATGAGTCAGATCTGACTCAATGGCAGTGAATTTGGTTTTTTTGGTTGATGTTTCACTAAATTGATAAAAAATAAAATATGTACATAGTAGTCATACATTTTTTGAATTACAGTGAATAAGTTACAAAATAAAAGTTGATGGTGCATAACTCTGTCTATCAGTCCATATATACTTCAAAACTACAGCAAGAATAATATTTTAAGAGTTTCTATTGGAAACCCAAGGGGGGGTGGCTATGAGTAGGGTCCAACTCCATGGCACATAACAGCAACAACAACATGTATACTTTGAAGAATTATATGACCCAGTAGAGCCTCTCTTTAATAATCTAATATAAACATACTAGAAGAAGAATAACACATAAATAACTTGTCTGTCCATGAATGTTATTCACTTATCTTGGTTTAGGGAAATGGTTCTCAGATTTTAGTGTGCCTCAGAATCACCTAGAGGACTTGTTAAAAGAGATGCTGCTGCATTTCCTGCCCACAGAGTTTCTGCTTTAGTAGGTCTGAGGCAGGGCTTGAGAATTTTCATCCCTACTTAACTACTGGGTGATACTGATGCTGCTAATTTTAGGAAATCAACACTGAGAAGTATCCGTTTAGTGAATTAAAAACAAGCAATTAAAGTAAAACAATTCCTCAGTATTTCCTTTGGAGGCAAAAATATCTGTTATTTTCAAAATAAGTAAATTACTGTTAATTGGAGTGAAAGAAATCACACTTACGTATACATTCTGTTTGTATTCCACTCCAAGTTAAATTTGCAAGGCAAGTTCTAGTTGTCGAACCTTGAATATGGTAACCTTTTCTGCACCTGAAAAATACTGTACTCCCAACCTACAAGAAAAATGGAATATTCACATCAGAAGGAAAACTAAAACAACTCATTAAAACTAATCATGCTTGAAAGCAGATACTAAGGAAAAATTACACTGCAAAATTTCACTTTAATATCAAATCATTGTTAAAATCAACACATAAATGTAAACTGCAAGTTAAAGCATTATATACCATATAGATTCCTCAAAATATAATGTAAAATCTTGTTGTTGTTGTTAGTTGCCATTGAGACATCTCCAGCTCATAGCAACCCTGTGGTCAGCAGAATGAAACACTGCCCAGTCTTGGACCAGCCTCAGGATCCTTGTTATACCTGAGCACATCATTGCAGCCACTGTGTCTATCCATCTTGTTGAGGGCCTTCCCCTTCTTTATTGACCCTCCACTTTACCATGCATATCTTTCTTGAGGGAATCAGTCCTTCTGATAACATGACCAAAGTAGGTGAGATGAAGTTTGGCCACTCTTGCATTCTGGTTGTGCATCCTCCAGGACAAATTTGTTAGTCTTTTTAGCAGTCCATGGTACTCTTAGCAGTCTTCTCCAACACCACAACTCAAAAGCATCAACTCTTCTTCAGTCTTCCTTATTCATTGTCCCACTCTCACATGCATAAGAGGTGATTGAAAATACCGTGGCTAGGATTAGGCACACCATAATCTTCAAGGAGACAACTTTGCTCTTCAGCAACCTGAAAGGTCTTTTGCAGAGATTGCCCAATGCAATAAGTCTTCTGATGTCTTGACTGAAGCTTCCATTGATGTTGATTGTAGAACCAAGTAATATGAAATCCTTGACAACTTCAATCTTTTCTCCATCCACAGTGATGTTTATTCGGACCAGTTGTGAGGATTTTTTTTTTGGTGTTGTTGTTGTTCAGGTGTAATCCATACTGCAGACTGCAGTCTTCAATCTTCGTCAGTAAATGCTTCAAATCATCCTCCCTTTCAGCAAACAGAGTTGTGTCATCTCAGTATTGCAGGTTATTTATGAGTCTTCCTCCAATACTGATGTCACGTTCTTCATCATATAATCCAGCTTCTCAGATTATTTAGTCAGCATACAAGTGGTATTAAGTATTATGAAAGGATACAACCCTGACGCACTACCTCCTTGATTTGGAGCCATCCAGTATCCCCTTGTTCTGTTCAAACAACAGGCTCCTGATCTATGTACACGTTCCTCATGAGTACAATCAAGTGTTCTTGTAAAATCTTAAAAATACTAAATAGTGATATTTAGGAAGCTGTTTATTTGGGTAAAGAAAATGTCCTTTTTTAATTTTTATTCTTCTGTTACTCATTCTAAGCAATTGATATTTATTAGTAAATTAAATTTGTGACTATTCCTTGGGGACTTGGCAATTCTTGCCCTTTTTGAGATCCATCAAAGCTTAACCTGTACCCCTGTTGCTTCAAATATATGATTATTTATTGTTATTTTAATGTCTTGGGTACCTTCTCCTCCAGATCTTTACCACTCACTCCCACTTAATTCTTGACAGTTTGCTTTGACTTCACATCTGATCATTTTTCTCTTAATCTTTCCAGAATGAATCATATGCTGCTTTTATGTATTTCCTCATCATGAAATGCTAATTGTGTCATTTACTAAAATGTGCTAAAATTGCCTATATATTTATCTATCTTCCTAATGTAATTGGAAGTGCCTTGAAAAAGAGAAACTCTGTGGTGTTTATTTATTTATTTATTTGTAGAGAAGAGTTATGGATGTGTGTTGGGCTGCACCAATATCTTCCATGACTACTTATATCTGGAAGGTTTGGTGATGCAAGAAGAAAAGGAAAAGTAGCCACAGAGAAGTGCTCTCAGTCTAGAAGCCAGTTTTGCACACAATGCCTTTCTGTTGGGACTGAGTCTGTTCCTGAAGCTTTAATAATGAAGATGCTTACTCAAATAAGAGCCCAAAAATTTGAATGTAAAACTTAATACTTCCTCTGGTAATTTAAATCACTTAATTCCTCTGTGTCTCTTGTCCATATGAGTCAGGCCTTATTAGGATTTTGAGAAGAAAAACTGAGTAAATATGTGAAAAAAGTTGACACACTGAAAAAGATATACAAATGTTTAAAAAAAAAGGGGAGGCTTCTTAGCCTTTACATCTAAAAATTGAATTCATTAAGAAATCAAAAATAAAATTTATGTAAATTTCAAATCAATAGGTAATTTGAGAGGATGAATGATCTACCTCAAATCTCTTGTAAGCATGTTATTAACCCCACATCAGATTTCTTGGTAAACATGCTAACATTATTAGTTAGCAGGAAGGGAACAGACAAATGTTACCATTCACTCTCAGAAAGAAAACATAGTATCCTTATTGATAAAATATTTTTAGTAGGGTATACTTGGCAACTTTAGACTAATTACTGTAAATTTACCTGGGATTTATTAATTTACAGTACATAGCTGACTAGAGAATGGAGTCTAGTCACCTTACTTGTGTAAATAACATAATATAGAAAAGGGGTGGTCCAGGCCCAAATGGCTCACTTCATGTGGATAAAGTTTCAGCATACATTGCTGAAAATAAATAAATAAATGCATGCATACATAACTCATTTGTTAAATTCATATACAATATGGTTGTAATGAATGAGAAAAGAGCATGTTTGGTGGGAACTGCATCAAACAATATCAGACAACTTTTCACAAATGTTTACCAGTACCTGGTGTCTTTTTCCTTTAAATTATTACTCAATCTTGCTACTGGGTGAGATCTTTGTGCATGTGTGTTAGTATGACTTTATTTTTTCACAGGGAAGATGATGGATTTTTTCTATCTTATGAACGTCTTATAATGAATTATAGGAATATGCTTTAAACTTACTTACCATAGGCTGAGGCAGCCAAGTTCAGAACTAGGAAAGACATTGGTGATCAATGGTAACCAAAACTTTGACTTTTCACAGTAAATTAGCAAGAGCAATATGCACACATAATATTTTCCATTATTCCTAGATATTTGTTGTTAAATATCTATTTTCCTCAAAGGATTTATCTGAAGCTTAAGTCATAGTTGAGATCTAACATAAAATGTACTAGATTTACTAACCAGGTTCCTGTGAGAATTTTCCTTATCAAACGTAAGACAGTTACCATGAAATAACCAATGTCTATCAGAACCAGTGAAATAGGAATATTTTTTGCTTTCATGAAGGGTGGGATGTGGGTTATTTATTTTAAATATAAAATATTTTTATTCTAAATCAGTAGAATATCTAACCTGAAATTACATATTTAACTTTGAATTCAGTCACATAATCAAAGAGCCATTAAGTCACTTGATGAAGATGGTTAATACATTTAATTTCAAGCTTTATTACCTTCCATTTTTAGATATTCTTCTAACATTAACTGAATGGTTAATGTTCTTTTTGCTAAAAAATCAAATGCACATTCAAAAGTTATGTTCAGTATGCTAGTAATCAAACAGTTTTAAGAGATCATATGGAACAGTTTCTGGAACTTCCCGTAAGATGGCAGAATAGGCAGACAAACTACATAGATCCTCTATAACAAAGAAAAGACAAACCAGTTGGCACAGATACAGAAGATAATCCTCTAGCCCTGAGCTTTGAAAGGAAGGATACAGAAGTGGATTAAACATCCACTAGTTAGAAGAACCTGAATGAAAACAATGAATAAGGAGACAAATGGAGCTGCAGATTGTCACATATCCTGACAGCACAGACAGTTTGTCTATTTCCAAGTGGCATGAGGACCCGAGAATTAACCTAAAAATCAGCTCTGCTCATCAAGGGCTACATCTAAGATTGTACTGGTGGCTGATAACTAAAAAGAGAAACAGCAAAGGAGACAAATTGAGCTGTGGACTTTCAGCTGTAAGAAGGGCACAGCTATTTTGAATGCTTACAAGTGGTGGCCATTTTGGATATTTGAAGCAAAAGCATTCTTGTTCAGATTCCAGGGACCTAAGAATAGGCTCCACTTGTCAAGGACAGCATAGAAATACTTGAGGCTGATGACTGGAAAGGTGCAATATTACTCTTGTTACTCTTATACTACACACCCTCTTGGTGAATGGAGGTTCAGCCATCCCTCACCTCCACCAACCTTCTGGGCTAGCAGGAATTCCATGCCAGTCTGTGTGCTTTGGTGGAACCTGGGTGCCCTGCATTGATCTCCCACCCCTAATTTTTTTGTTTGTTTGTTTGTTTTCTCCCACCCACCTTTCTTCTTATTTTCAGGTTCTAGTTTTGACCTCTAAGTCACATGGTATTGGAAGTTCTAGCCAGGGCAATAAGGCAAGAAATGGAAATCAAAGGTATACATATTGGTAAGAAAGAAGTAAAATTATCCTTATTTGCTCATGATATGATCCTATACATAGAAAACCCAAGAGATTCAGAAAGAAAACTACTGGAACTAATTGAGAGATGTAGCATAGTGACGGGATACAAGATCAATGTACAAAAATCAGTTGGATTCCTCTATACCAGCAAAGGACAAAGTAGGAGATCTCACACTCCTGGATCTCAGAACATACCATACAGCCACAGTAGTCAAAACTGCCTTATATTGGTAGAATGACAGATACACACATCAGTAGAATTAAATTGAGAACCCAGAAATAGATCCATTGCCCTATGGTCAGCTGAATTTTGACAAAGGGTTGAATTTCCTTAAATGGGAAAAATATTGTCTCTTTAACAAATGGTGCTGGCAAAACTGGATATACATTTGCAGAAAAATGAAACAAGATCCATACCTCACACCACACACAAAAACTAACTCCTGATGGATCCAAGACTTAAATGTGAAACCTCAAACTGTAAAGTTCCTCAAGGAAAATATAAGGGCTAATTTAGGGATCCTAATTTATGGCATACATATATCATCAAGCATAAGCCAAAATACATAAATAGCAGAAGATAAAATGGATGAATGAAACCTTCTAAAAATTAAATTTTTATGTGCTTCAGAAGACTTTTCCAAAATAATAAAAAGAGAACCTACATATTGGGAAAAAGTATTCAGCAAGACATATCTGACAAGGGACTTATCTCTAAAATTTGTAGAAAACTCTAATACCTCAACAACAACAAAAAAATAAACACTCCAATTAAAAAATGGGCAGAAGACATGAATAGACACTTCACCAAAGAAAATATTCAGGTGGCCAAGAAAGATATAAAGAAATATTCACAATCATTAGCCATTAGAGAGATGCAAATCAAAACATCAATGAGATACCATCTTGCCCCAGCACTAATAACAAAGTTCAACAAAATAGAAAATAACAAATGCTGGTGAGGATGTGGAGTGATTGGGACTCTTATACACTGCTGGTGGGACTGTAAAATGATACAACCACCATGGGAAGCAGTATGGTGATGCCTTAAAAAGTTGAAAATAGAAAATACCATTTGATCCAGCAATCCCATTACTAAGTATATATCCTAAAGAAGGGAGAACTAGCACAAGAACAGATATATGCACAACCATGTTCACTGCAGCACTATTTACAATAGCAAAAAGATGGAAACAACCTAGGTGTCCATCAACAGAAGAATAGATAAGCAACCTATAGTATGTAGACACAATGGAATACTATACAACTCTAAAGAATAACATAGAATCTGCAAAACTGGACAATGTTGATGAACTTGGAGGACATTATGCTGAGTGAAATAAGTCAATCACAGAAGGACAAATATTATATTAGTTCATTATTATAAAAATTTAAGGAAAGGTTTACACATGGAAAGTAATTTTCTTTGTTGGTTATCAGGTTTGGGAGGGGAGGGAAGGGAATACGGCTAGATAAGTAGAGACAAGTATTGATTTGGGTGAAGGGAAGGTCAATGTACCAAATGTAAGTGATCATCACAGTGACACTGAGGAAGAGGAAGACATAGAGTTGTACATGGGAGCTATAGGCAACAGAGATGGACCCCTTTACATGTACAGTACTGTGTTGGCAGTGATGGCAAGCATTGATCTATAGGTGCATAGATGGGTAGACAGGCTGAATGATCACTTATGTCTAGGCAGGAGGTAGTGTGCCCATGATCATGTGTAGGGTTAGAGAAAAAAAAGTTCTAAAAAAAAAAAAAGAAGCTAGGGAAAGCAGGAATGCATAAGTAAGAAGGTTGCAAGGAAAGGGTAACCACAGGAAGGAAGTTGGAGGGGAGCTGTTACATTGTGGGGATTGTAATCAGTGTCACAAAACAAAGTATGTATGAACTATTGAATACAAAATGAATCTGTTTTGTAAAATTTCACCTAAACAACAAAATTATATAGAGAACACATATCACAAAGTAAGCTTACCCTAATGGACTTGAATGTACTTTCTTCTGTATTATTATTTTTTTCTCTAGAATTTAATATTACATGTGCATTCTATCAAGAACCATATGGCCTAATTTATGATTTTATGTGCAGCTAGACAGCAACATGCTATTGTTATCTATCAACCAGATGTTAGTTCAGCAGACAAAAAAGTACAGAATTATACATATTTAAAAAAATAAATTAATATAGCAATTGTTACTATATGAACCCAGAAACAAATATTTATTCTATTGTTGACAATTGGAAACACATGCAAATAACTTCATTGTATATAATTTATTTACATAAATGACAACATGAATAAGATACGGTATATAAAAATTTATACATATGTTTAACTATTAATTGCATTTTACATTTACATAAAAATATAACAAAATAAAAATGTAGTACCTCATATCCTCTAGAGCTATTCTGTATTCCAAAATGTGGGGTACCAGGATCTGGGCAAGAATTATGAGCAGGATCTGAAATTCAAGTGAAAAATAAGGATCAGATGTGGTTATTATAAGAAATATAATATTTTCCTAAAATGTCTGATGCAATTGAGGAAATTTTGCTTTGACAAATGTGCAAGATGTTTTTCATGAAAGTTAAAAATTTAAATTTCTATTTTCATCTTCCTTTCAGACTTCTTTAGTTATTAGTCTTTAATGCTTTATCAGATTTTAAATTGCTTTGTATGTTCTTTTTTATATATAAGCAGAGTGACATCAGCAACTTGGATGACTAAATAGGAAGTTTGGGGGAGAGGGGAGTGAGTTTATATTAATAGGGGAGGAACAACTCAAAAAAAGGAGGGTGAGAATGGTTCCATACATGAAGAGTGTAATTAATGGCACTAAATTGTATACATAGAAATTAGTGAATTGGTGTTTGTTTTTGCTGTGTATATTTTCACCAACAATACAATAAAATAAATTATGTAAAAAAAAAAAAAAGAATAAGTAGTGTGGAATCTGGTGACAGAAATTCATATGCTTTTCATTCTCTGGATGTTTTCTTTGTCTACTGACATTTAGGTTGATTAATAATATACAACCCCCAGTAATTACCTATTGACATCACTTGGTTTTCAGGATTTAATTAGTTATTCTCTCATTTGGTTGTCCATTGCATTACTTCAAAAATCTTGAATTATTTTTCTCAGGACTTCAATATGAAAAATGCATTTAATGCTTCAAAATTGAAGCACATAGTAAATCAACAGGTGATATTTCCCAAAAATATAGGACTTGCACAATCAAGCACATTCCAGCTTGTTTGATGCTCAATAGCTTTGTGTCTTGCTGTTGTTGTTATGTGCCGTTGAGTCGGATCCGACTCATAGCGACCCCTCCTTGGGTTTCCGAGGCAGTATCACTATGGAAGTAGATTGCCCCATCTTCCTTCTGAGGAGTGGCTGGTGGGTTTGAACCGCTAGCTTTCTGGTTAGCAGTCAAATGCCTTAGGCACTACGCTACCAGAGCTCCCAGCTTTGTGTAGAAAATCAAAATAAATAGCTTTTCATAATTTGTTTTCAATAGTCATTAATATATTGGATAGAAGAAAAATATTTATCATGTAGGCATAGCTATGAGGTAGCAATAAGTTGAATAGAATGACAGTAAATATTCCTAAAATTAAAAAAGTGCTTCAATTTAATTATTTCTAATATTAAATTTATTTTTAAGTAGACATCTTTCAAATTCTTACAGAATAATGATTAGAGAATGCCAATAAAATATGGTGAACAAAATAAAGTGAGCACTAGAACACGAGTTTTTTCAGCAGTGAGGTATAAGGGAAAAAATATTAAATTAAGTGCTCTCATTTCTGTGTTGCTAATATTATGACTTTGGACAAATATAAATTCTGTGTGGACTCGTCCTCTGAAGTAGAGATGTATTATAAAAATTAAAGATATAGGTCATGTATAAAGTCTCTTCTGACTTGGAAATTTCATTCTCCTATTCTAAGAGCACCAGAACATTGTTTCTCCTTATTGCTGCTTTTTTTCTGTTTTGTTTTTTATTGCTAACACTACAGTTAAAGGAAAAGAAGTAATGAATGATAGGCAGGTATTTAGGGGCGACTAACTAAACAACTGCCTTGGAAACCTAAGGAGGGGCTGCTATGAATTGGGCCCGACTCGATGGCACATAACAACAGCAACAACAACAAACAACCATAAGCTAGGGTACTTCTGTAGTGATAGTTTTGGAGAACAGTGGTAATGGCACTTTCCCCTAAAAGAAAATGTAGTAGTCTAATGAAATGGACTGGAGATGGAGAAATTAAGGCAAGTTAAAAATGTCTAGTATCTATTTTAGCAGACTTCAAGCGTCTCCACACTCACTTTGTGTTGTTTAAAAGAGATTATAATCAGTTTAACTGAGTAGTGATTATACAAAGTATATTACCTTCCATAGAATATATATGGAATCTTTATCTCTATAACCACAAATAATCAGATTTTGAAATAAGACGCCCCATCGCAAAATATTTCTGGGCCAGAAATAAAATTATTACCAATGCAAGTGGGCTGTATGCCACTCCATGTGCCATCAGCTTGGCAGATTCTTCTTGAAGATCCCACTAGTATAAACGGAGATTTACACTGGAAAAGGACTTCAGATTTGTAGGTGAAACTTTTCCCAGTAAGCCGTCCCTCTGCAGGAATGCCAGGATCTCCACAGAACACAGCTGTTGAAAACAATGAAAGCTAAGTTAAGACTTACTGTGCTGAACAGAGTCAATATCAGTACAATGTAAGTACTCGGTTTGTCTGGATCAGGTTTACTTATTACACCAGTTTAACTAGTTTCTATTTAACCCTTAGGTTTAACTAGTAAACAAATATGGGACTAAATAGAAAGAATCTGATTGTGGTCAAATCAATCTCAAGTGTGAGTTTTTATATATTTTAATACAGCTATAAATTATATATCAATATTTTCCTCAAATTATAAATTTAGGATGCACACATTCTAATATGACTATAAATTATACATAACTATTTTCCTCAAGTTATAAATTTAGGGTTGATATATAAGTACCATTGCTAACTTGTGATTAGTAGAATTCATTTTGCTATAGAACTTACGCAGACACTGAGGAATCTCTCCTTTCCATATCCCACGACCTTCACAGGAGAGGATGGCCGAGTGAGAAAGCTGGTAGCCATCAGCACAACTGTAACTTATACTAGAGCCCCAGTGGAAATCTGTTCCCTCCACTTTTCCATGCTGCACTTGAGGAGGCTGACTGCACATGACAGCTATTTGCAAAAATCAAACAAAATTAAACACTGTAGATCATCTCCCACAAATGTAAGGCTCACATTATTCACATTTTAATTTAAGATGAATTACAAAATAACATCCAAATAAGGTTGTAGTTCATTTAAAAACCTATGGAGGAAGACAATAAAGCAAAATAATAAATCTTTCCTCCAATATTTCTTAATTAATTTAGATCAGGTATGTGAAACAGAAGTAAAAACATATCTCACGGTAAAATAAAATGGGATTGAAGATAACGTTCTGAATATATAAAAGTCTAAGAAAGGAAGAAATATTTTTAGTTAACTTGTGTGCTTTTGTGATGGTTACTGAGCACAAATTGAATCAGGACTTGGTCATACAACATACAAGTACTATTTTAACTTTTGAATGATATCCATATTGTATAGATAGTAAAAAGTTATTTTTTTATCTGTAACTTTTTATGATTTCCAAAAGCCATAGTTTGTTCATTCACTTGCATTCTAATTAAAAATAAACAAACAACAAAAAACAAAATAACAAATAATTTAATGATTAAAGAAAATTATGTAAAATGTTACATGCAAGTGATTTGTAACAGTCAGAGGATGTTACTTACTTTGTATATAGGGCCATAGAGCAAGAAAACAGTTCTTACAAACAATTCCCCCATTGATGCTGGACCTCATACCCCAAATTACCAGTCTGGAAATTATTCTGAGATGAGTGATAGTGGTAAACAAAAACATTATCTAAAAATCTTCTTTCCTATCAATTTCCTAATTATATATATATATATATATAATCTTTATTTTTTATTATTGAAAATATACACAGCAAACACACAATTCTATAGTCTCTACATGTACAATTTAGTGATATTTATTCCATTCTTCAAGCTATGCAACCAGTCTCACCATCTTTTTCTGAATTGTTCCTCCTTCAGTAACACAGACTCAATTCCCCCTAATGTTCCTATCTAATCTTTTGAGTTGTTATTGTCCATTTGATCCCACAGAGATAGTTCTTTAAAGAGTACAATGCTCAGGGCACACCTTTTTGACCAGGTAAGCTGAACTAGTGTTCAGTTTGAGGATGACTTCAGGGGATATTTTTGGTTTAAGTTTTAATGATTATCTCAAGGTAAGTGTTTCAGAAGTCCATACATCCTCCATGGCTCCAGGAAGTCTGGAGTCTATGAAAATTTGAAATTCTTTTCTGCATTTTCCCCTTTTTGATCAGGATTTTTCTATGGAAATTTTGATGTAATGTTCTGTAATGGTAGTCAGACACCATCCAGTTCTTCTGGTCTCATAGCAAAAGAGGAAGTTGTTCATGGAGGCAATTAGCCACAAATTCCATATCCTGCTCCTATTCCTGACTCTGCTTCCTCTGTTGCTCCAGGTGAATAAGGACCAATTGTGCCTTACATGAGCATTTCCTGAAATTTTGATATTGGATGAGGTTTGTAAAAGACAATTTAGGCAGAGAAGGCAACAGTGAGATGTTTATATATTTTTTCTTAGGCATATTTATGTTTTCTCATCTGAGAAAGACATATAAACACAAGCATAATCATACATAAATACCCAGCATATGATAATTAGTCTTTATTTTGCCTTCTTCCTTCCATTTATTAATTTAACAAATGTTTCTTGAAAATCTACATGTGAAAGTCTGGAGCAAGTGTGCTCTAGACAGAGGAAATTGCAATTGAAAGGTTAGTAGCTTGAGTCTATGTAGAGGTACCATGGAAGAAATGTCTGACCATTTACTTCTGAAAAATCAGCCACTGAAAACCCTACAAAGCACAGTTCTACTCTGATACACATGGGCTGTCATTACTTGGAGTTGACTCAACGGAAACCGATTACTGGTAGGTATAATAAAGAGGAGATCTCCACTTATTTTTGTTTGACCGCTGACAGCTTTCAAGTGTCATCTCTACTTCTTCCCTCCTTGTCCCACATCTGAGCAAGCCAATAGGAAAGTCTATGTGCTTCCTCTTTAGTGCAGGATAAATAAAAACTATGAAAATTTCCAGCCCTTGAACAACCCTACCCAGCTCCACCTCTTTATCACCATTAGGGCTAACCTAGTTATTCTGCTTTGCTCAAGCTGCCCGGACTGGCTTGAGCATGGTCCACTCTCCCCCTAAAGTCCTCATCTGTCAGGTTTCACCAGGGTCTGCATCTAACCTACCACAAAACAATTATAGCACTAAATTTTGTACCATATGCCTCCATTATTTGGTGATTATCTTGTCTTTCTAGCCATAAAGTCTTATAATTATATTCACAATCAGATCTACCATAAGACTTGTAGTTACTGGGGGTTAAAATATCAACCAAGAGCCAGCAAACCATTGTGATTAAAAACACAGGCTCCAGAGGTAGTATGCCAGACTTTGAATCCTGACTCCTCCGTTTCCTTGTTCTGTTACCCTAAGCCACTCATTAACCCTCTCTGTGAGTCAGTTTGGCAATTTCAAATTTCAAAATTGAGATAAAAGTATTACCAAAGTTGATTTAATATTTGTAAGTATATTTATGAGTTGTTAGCACTGAGAAGGGTTATATAAATGCTATAAAATAAAATAAAAATAATTTAACAAAGGCTGCAACACATCCAAATAAGGTTGAAAAGCAGTAATACAGACCTTTGCAGAGAGGCTTGCTCTGATTCCATGTACCATCTTTAGTACAACAAATAGTGGATGAAGTGATGGGTTCCATAAGATAGCCAGGGTTACACTGATAGCTAACAGTCTTATTGAAGGTGAAATCACTCCCAAACTGGATACCATTAGCCAGTGTACCTGGATCACCACAATTTATAACTAATAAGTGGGTAACAAAAAAGAAGCAAAGAAATACAAAGTTATCATGAAATGAATTAATCATGGCTTCTTTTCAGGTAGGAGCTCTGGTGGCATAGGGCCTAAGGCAGTTGACTGTTAACCAAGAGGCTGGAGGTTCAAACCCACCAGCAATACATCAGAAGGAAGACTGGAAAATCTATTTCCATACAGATATTGCCTCAGAAACCCAAGGAAGGGTCTCTACGAGTCGGGACCGACTTGACGGCAGTGAGTTTGCTTTTGGTTTTCTATTCAAGTTACACTCTTTCAGCTGCTATTCAAAGTGATTCAGGACTGAATTATTACAACAATACTAACCATTGCTTGGTACTTTACTGAGCCACTATTGGGAGGCCTCATGGTTGGAATCACTTCTTCCTATTTTATTCGTGATAGACTATGCTGATGTCAGCTGCTATCCCTTGTCTAGTGTCTTTAGTTAAGCATGGTTTGTAATCACATCATGATCAGAGAAATAAACATTGGTTCTATAACGTACATTAAATGTTCCATGTGGAGAGGGAAAACCTTGACTTTTTTGGCCCTATTTTTAAAATGTCTAACCCAACTCATCTCTTAAATTAACTTTAAGTATGATAAGAAAGTGGGGAAAAATCTAAAAGTACTTAATAAATATATTAATAATATTAAACATGCATTCATCCTTTTCTCTTTATGGATAAAATTAATAAAATATTAAAAAAAATAAATTTATCTTGCTCAGAAAAATAGGTTTCATGATAATATCCTCAAGTCTACCATGAGAGTTAGTCACTAACTTGTGCAATCAGGAGCTGTGCCAGTCCAAGTCCCGTTGGCTGTGCAGTGCCGAGTCATCAGCCCCGAGGTCTTATACCCTTCCCAACAAGCATAAATGACTGAGCTTGAGAACAGTACCCCATCGCTACTGATGATCATGCCATTGGTGGGGGTGCCAGGATTGCCACAGGACACAGCTGTTAGGGAAAGAAAAGCAATGACAAACAAAGATAGTGACCCATTAGTGAAATGACAAATACAAAAGAACAAATGTTTTCATTTTATTAGAGTGCATGTTAATCAGAAAAACGCAGGGCATATTATTATGAAAGTGTTAAATATACTTTTTATATATGACTCATACTGTTATCTTATTGACTAATTACAAATACAAAATATAATTTCATATTATCCTTTCTAAAGTTCCTTAATTCAAAACAAATTAAAAGATGAGGTAAATCATTGAGAATTTAAAAGCATGCTACATTGGGATTTAAATTGTTTTTAATACTTACAGAGATAAAATTATGATAATTTTTTAGGATGTATATATTAGCAACCCAAAAGCATCTTGCTTCATGAAATAATTGTATTTTGTTTATTTATTTTTTAATCTGAATAATTCAGGACATATTTAAATCTTCTGGAGAATTTATTTAGGAAAATAAATATGTCTAGGTATATGAATAACTACAATTTTAAACTGTTTTATAAAATGACCTTCTCAATATCTCCAAATATAATGGCAGCTGTCTTAATTGATTTTGACAGAAATACACTTTATATTTATCTTCAATCATAGTGCCATGCACATGGTCTCAGTTACCGATGAGCAATACCGTTTGTCTGTGCTCAGAGTCTCTATCTGTGTACTCCTAAATCAGCAAACAAAAGAAAGTTTACTGTGTACTTATCAAGGCTATAATTTCCATCTATAGCAGATTTTTCTTTTTACCTTTTAAAATTAAGATTATTTACCCTAATTATTGACTTTTTTTTCCTTTAATGCTTCCACATGTACAATGTATAGAAATATAAAAGGTATCATCCTTGGCTGGATTTTAACAACAAGAATGTATCATGAGATCATCTCTGATGCTGACCAAAACATTTAAAAATATTATTTAGTTGCTCCACTTTCAGATCCAGCCTTGAGAACAAACATATATTTTTCTTAAAAATCTAAAGCAAAGAGACTGTAAAATTTGCATAGCATATACAAATCATTATATGGTAACTTAGGGAATTTCCTTTCATTGAAAGGAATTTCCAATACATTGACAAATGTAGTTTCATGTAAAACTAGAACTTGTTTGGTAAATACAGAGCACATATGCTGATCCTTCTCTACCTGTGCCTGTGGTAGACATAATTAAGGAATCATAATCCTCTGTCTTGATGAATCTGGGTTTGAATTTATCATGCTTTCTAACATAGGCCTTGTAGCAGTTTCTTAGTTGGCATTTGAGATGTGAAATATTTACCAATCTAGAAGCAGATGGCTACCACTAATCTGTCATTTTGTTGTATTGTGGTGGCTCACATGTTACTTTGAAGCTGGACACTATGTCACCGATATTTCAAATTCCAGCAGGGTCACCCATGGTAGACAGACAGGTTTCAGTGAAGCTTCCAAACTGAAACAGACTCAGAAGAAGGAAGAGGCTGTCCACTTCTCAAAGAATTGGCCAGTGAAAAGCTTATGAATACTGTCTGATATATTACTGGAAAACATTATGAACAGCCCTGAAACACTGTCCAATATAGTGCCAGAAGATGAGCCCCTCAGGTAGGAAGGCACTCAAAATATGACTATGGAAGACCTGCCTCCTCAAAGTACAGTCAAATTTAAAGACATGGATAGAATAAAGCTTTCGGAATCTCTCCATTTGCTGATGTGTCAAGAGTCTAAATAGAAAGAAGCAGCTGAAAACATCCATTAATAATCGAAATGTGGAATGTACAAAGTATGAATCAGAGAAAATTAGAAATTGTCAAAAATGAAACGAAATACACAAAGATTGATATCGTAGTCATTAGGGAGCTGAAATTGACTGATTTTGCCATTTTGAACCAGACAGTCATATGATCTACAATACCAGGAATGACAAATTGAAGAGAAATGGTGCATTATTCATCATCACAAAGAATGTTTCAAGATCTATCCTGAAACATAATGCTGTCAGTGGTAGGATAATATCCATATGCCTACAAGGAAGACTAGTTAATACTACTATTCAAATTTACTCAACAACCAACAAAGCCAAAGAAGAGAAAATTAAAGGTTTTTACCAACTTCTGCAGTCTGAAATCTATCAAACAAGCAATCAAGATGTGTTGATTATTACTGGTGATTGGAATGCAAAAGTTGAAAACAAAGAAGAATCACCAGTAGTTGGAAAATATGGCCTTGGTAATAGAAATGATACTCGAGATTGCATGATAGAATTTTGCAAGACCAATGACTTAGTCATTGCAAATACCTTTTTTCAACAACATAAGCTGTGGCTATACACGTGGACTTCATCAGGTGGAATACACAGGAATGAGGTCAACTATATCTGTGGAAAGAGGCAATGGAGAAGTTCAATATCTTCAGCTAAAACAAAGCCAGTAGCTAACTGTGGAAAAGATCATCAATTGCTCATTGCTAAAGGGGCAGGGAGGCCACATCTTCAGACCTCCTCTAACCCTACAAGAGGAAGAAAGAATCACCATCAGTAGCCCAAGGCCATTTCCTGTGAGGCCAGACATGCTGCCTCCCTCCAGCCTTTTCACCAACCCTGACACCAACTGTTCCTCCTATAGCACCTACCACCTCTCTACTGGGTTTGATAATTCGCTTCAGTGGCCACACAGAACTCACAGATTATGGGGTTTATTTGGAAAGCACAAGGCTACAATTCAAGTTCATGAACAATGCTCAGCCTCTCTCAGCCTGCTGTCTCTCAGCCGACAGTCTCTCTCCCAGCACTGTGTTTCTCTCTGTATCTCTCTTCCAGCAGTGTGTGTCTCTCAGTTAATCTTTTTCAGCAGCAAATGTCTCTCAGGAGTGTATTTCTCTCAACAGCACGTCTTTCTTAGGCAGCAGTCAGAGGGACTCATTCTGCCTCTAGGAGGGCTCCTTTTGAGCCTGGCAGAGTGGGCAAACTAACTATTCATAACATCAGAATTCTAAGTACTTGAGAGAGAGCAAACTTCCCAGAAGATTGCTTTGTGTCACCCTCAACAGAAATACCCCAGGTGGGTAACTTTAACAATCAGGAGCCCCTCAGTTGCTCACAGCAAATTCCACCATGGAGTTTACAGACTTATGGCTAGAAAAGCCATACCAGGTAATTTACACTTCACTCATATATAAGTTTAAGTTGAGCTGAAGAGAATGAAAACAAGTCCGTAAGAGCCAAAATATGAACTTGATTATATCTCATCTGATTTCAGAGACAATCTGAAGAACAGATTTGATGCATTGAACACCATTGACCAAAAACCAGAGGAACATGGGATGACATCAAGAACATCATCCATGAAGAAAGCAAAATGTCATTAAAATGAAAGGAAAGGGGGGAAAGACCAAAATGGTTGTCAGAAGAGATTCTGAAACTTACCCTTGAATGGAGAGTAGCCAAAGCAAATGGAAGAAATGACAAGATAAAAGAGCTAACTGGAATTTTTCAAAGAGCAGCTCAAGAAGACAAAGTCAATTATAATGAAATTTGCAAAGACATGGAGTTGGAAACCAAAAGGGAAGAACACACTCAGAATTTCTCAACCTGAAAGAACTGAAGGGAAATTTAAGCCTCAAGTTGCAATGCTGAAAGATTCTGTGGACAATATACTGAATGATGCAAGAAACATCAAAAGAAGATGGAAAGACTACAAAGAGTCACTGTACCAAAAAGTATTGGTTGATGTTCATAAATTTCAGGAGGTGGCATATGATCAAGAACAAATGGTATTGAAGGAAGAAGTTGAAGCTGCACTGAAGGAAGTGGTATAAAATAAGGCTTGATTGATGGAATACCCATTGAGATGTTTCAACAAATGGATGCCGCACTAGAGGCACTCATTCAGCTATACCGAGAGATTTGGAAGACAACTATCTGGCCAACTGACTGGAAAAGATCCATGTTTATACCCATTTCAAAGAAAGGTGATCCCACAAATTGTGGAAATTTTCAAACAATATCATTAATATCACACTTGAGTAAAATCTTACTGAAGATAATTCAGAAATGTTTACAGCAGTAAAATTTCCAGAATTTTATTCCAGCAGAGAATTTCCAGAAATGCAAGCTGAATTCAGAAGAGGATGTGGAACAAAGGATATCATTGCTGATATCAGATGGATCTTGGCTCAAAGCAGAGACTACCAGAAATATGATTAGTTGTGTTTTACTGACTATGCAAAGGCATTTGATTGTGTGGATCATAACAAATCATGGATAACATTGAGAAAAATGGGAATTCCAGAACACTTAATTGTGCTCATGAGGAACTTGTACATAGACAAGGATGTTGTTCAAACAGAACAAGGAGGCACTGAGTGGTTTAAAATCAAGAAGGGAGTGTGTCAGGGTTGTATCTTTTCACCATACTTATTTAATCTGTACACTGAACAAATAATCCATGAAGCTGTACTATATGAAGTATAACGTGGCATCAGGATTGAAGGAAGACTCATTAATAACCTGTGTTATGCAGATGACACAACTTTGCTTGCTGAAAGTGAGAATGACTTGAAACACTTACTGATGAAGATTGAAGACTACAGTCTACAGTATGGATTACACCTCAATATAAAGAAAACAAAAATCCTCACAGCTGGACCAATAAGCAGTGTGATGATAAATGGAGAAAGATTGAAGGTTTCAAAGATTTCATGTTACTTGGTTCTACAATCAACACTAATGGAAGCAGTAGTCAAGATATCAGATGTCATATAGCATTGGGCAAATCTGCTGCAAAGGACTTCTTTCAAGTGCTGAGGAGCAAGGATGTTTCCCTGAAGACTAAGCTGCACTTGACATAAGCCATTGTATTTTCAATCGCTTCATGTGGATATGAGAGTTGGACAATGAAAAAGGATAATGAAGAAGAGCTGATGCTTTTGAGTTGTGGTGTTGATGAAGAATGCTGAAAGTACCATGGACTGCTAAAAAGACTAACAAATCTGCCCTGCAAGAAATGCAGCCGG